TCTGCAGTTCTAAGATGATGATGATGTTTATAAGAAAAGAAGAGAGAGAGAGAGAATGACTCTGTCATATCTGGCTCAAGGTCCCTCATTGCGTACCATAAGCATTGAGCAATGCCTGTTCTTTTCTTGATGTGATTAGACCAGCTGGTTCCCCCTTGCAGGTATGTGGTCCTGGATCTGATGGAGAGTGACCTGCACCAGATTATCCATTCCTCGCAGGCCCTCACCTTGGAGCACGTCCGCTACTTCCTTTACCAGCTCCTCCGAGGTCTCAAGTACATCCACTCGGCCAACGTCATCCACCGGGACCTCAAGCCCAGCAACCTCCTGATCAACGAGAACTGTGAGCTGAAGATCGGGGACTTCGGCATGGCCCGAGGCCTCTGCACCAAGCCGGACGAGTACAAATACTTCATGACGGAGTACGTGGCCACCCGCTGGTACCGAGCCCCCGAGCTCATGCTCTCCCTCCACGAGTACACCCAGGCCATCGATATGTGGTCGGTGGGGTGCATTTTTGCCGAGATGCTTGGGCGGAAACAGCTCTTTCCGGGGAAGAACTATATCCACCAGCTGCAGCTCATCATCACTGTTTTGGGCACCCCGCCCGCCAAAGTGGTCCACTCCATCGGGGCCGACCGGGTTCGGGCCTACATCCAGAGCTTGCCGTCGCGCCAGCCGGTGCCATGGGAGAACCTCTACCAGAACGCCGACCAGAAAGCCTTGGCGTTGCTTTCCAAGATGCTGCGCTTTGATCCACGGGAGCGCCTTTCGGTGGTGGAGGCCCTGAACCACCCCTTCCTGGCGAAGTACCACGATCCGGATGACGAGCCCGACTGTATCCCAGCCTTCGATTTCGACTTCGATAAACAAGTGCTCACCAAGGAGCAGATCAAGGAAGCCATTGTGGCCGAAATCAACGATTTCCACGAGCGCCGGGAGGGCATCCGGCGCCAGATCAGCTTCAAGCCGGCCTTGCGGCCTGCTGTCGTCGGGGGTTACCCGGATGAGGATAGGCAGACCGCACTTCTCCGCTGCCAGGATGTGGACATGCCCAGCGCTGGCTCCCCTCGGGTGGGTGACGGCGACTTTGCGATGGCCTCTCCTGGGCCGTATCCGCTGACAGAGACCATAGACCTTACCTCTCCCCTCGTAACCGAGCCTGTTCTGCAGCCTGAGGTGAAGGCGGAGGCCGAGGCCCCTGCGGCTCCACCAAAACGAGAGGGAGCCATTTCGGATGACACGAAGGCCGCCCTCAAGGCAGTCATCTTGAAATCCGCTCTCCGGAATAAGAACAAAGGTAAGTTGGGAAAGGTGGTTGGTGCCTGGATGAGGCAGGAGGGGCTTTTCGGTGGTTTGGACG